GGGCCATCCCCAGGTCGTCCCAGCTCCTCTATCCCGTCCCGCTTGGCCTTGCCCAGGCTGCCTCTTGTTTCCCCAGCAAGTGTTTGCGGCCAAGGCCTCCCCGGGCCCGTTCCCTTTGCTAGCAAGCATGGAGTTCGCCGAGCTGATCAAGACCCCTCGGGCGGACAACGTCGTCCTGCACCGCCCTTTCTACCTGGCCGTGGAGGGGCCTCTTGTTTCCCCAGCAAGTGTTTGCGGCCAAGGCCTCCCCGGGCCCGTTCCCTTTGCTAGCAAGCATGGAGTTCGCCGAGCTGATCAAGACCCCTCGGGCGGACAACGTCGTCCTGCACCGCCCTTTCTACCTGGCCGTGGAGGGGACTCTCTGTTTGACCGGCCATCACCTCATTTTTTCTTCACGGCGTCAAGACAACGCTGAGGAGCTGTGGCTGCTGCACTCCAACATCGATTCTATTGAAAAAAGGTATGCCTCCTAATTTCCCTGCTGACCCGCACCTAGTTGCTTGTGTCTCGTGGGTTGAAAAGCCGTTGTCGAGGCTGGCCCGCGCCTCGGCTCTCTCAGCTCCGGGTCCGGAGAGGGGAAAGGACAGTCAGTTAGAGCACGGGGCAGGATATTGGCGAGGGCGGGTTGACGCCCGTTCTGTTTGGATATTGATATTTGACTGTTGCATCTTAAGATTATTTCTTTTGGTCGTATATCAGGTTGGAATTTTTATGTTTAAACACCTCTGTCAGCAGTAGTCTGTGTTAATCGTTGGGTGGATTTCATCGGTAACGCTCCGTAAAGGATGCGTCGCCACCACCGTTCAACGGAGGTGGAAGCCGAGGCACTGATGGAGTGATTTTGCCTTCGGTCACCCAGCAAAACTGACGGCAGCAGCGGACTCCGGACTTTCTCAGCCCCGGATCAGTCTCCCACTGCTCGACACGATCATCCCCTTCCTCCTCCAGCTGCTTACGGGAATCCAGCAACACTTCTGACAGCATGCTCCTTGTGGGAACGACCTGGGAAAGCTGAGTTGTAGCTGCAGCACTCCCATTTTATTCTTGCCCATCCCCTTTTGTTGCCGGGACTGCAGAGATTAATCTCCTTCCCATCGCTTCTGTCCGCTTTGCGTGTACCGTTGCCCCATCGCGCTTCCCTCGTTGAGCGGCAGCCCCACCTCACCTGGTCATTGTCTTCTGCTTCCTCACCTTGGTCCTTTTTCCACTTCGCTCACCATAGCCTATTTTTTTCTTTTGTTAATTACAAAGTCAGTCCCTTGTTTTCCTTGCCTCTTAAGGAAATCTGGAAGAACAGATTTCCTTTCTGCCAGCAAGACTGGAGGGGGGAAAAAAAAAAAATCAAGCAGCAGCAATTAAAAATACCAGATTGCCTCAGAATCTGAGAATGGGTGAAGTACTGGGCGCTGATTAAGTTTGTTCCCGGTTTCTCTGAGCGTTTCCGAGAAACGCTGCATCTTGGCCTGAGGGTGGAGAGGAGCAGAGTGGTGGAAGCCTCAGGAAATCTGTTCCCGTGTAGCACTGCTCAGTCATCAGGGTGGCTTGGCCTCGTCCTCCTCGCTGCTTGTACTAAACCAGCCGTAGCTCCGTTTTGAAAATTATTGTGGGCAAGCTTTTCTTTCTTTTATCTTTTTTTTTTTGAGCTTAGTTGCCGTTATAAGGTAAACTAACACCAAATGAGCAAGGAATGTTTTAAGTTACGGTGAGGGAGTAGCGCGTTGCTAGCTCAGTATGTGATTTATACGGAGTTAGCTACGTCTGCAGATAACTCGCAGCCCTTATTGCCAGCCCTGGTTTCTAGGAGGAGGTCTCTCTCCCTCCCCGAGAGTAGCTTTGTGTGATTGTAACTGCAATGAGACTTTGCCACGTGAAAGGCTAAGAGTATCTTCTCGGTTCTGGAGGGGATGGAATAACAAGACTCTCAAATCAATAAAGGTCGTGAGAAGGTCCAGTTTGGCACTACTTCAGGCTGTTAGTGCACAACAACTGTGACGCTGTGCCAGGTTCATAAAATGTCTTCTCCCGCTTTCATGATATGAGGCTCTTTTGTACAAAACAGCGTTTTACCTAATTATCAGACGGTCGTCAAACCGCTGCTTAAATTTTTGTAGCTTTTTAAGCAACTTAAATATGACCTGTCGGGTCCGCTGAGATGTGGAACGGTCTCTGGTGATCTCCTGTGGTCTTTTTGCTTAAAGAAACGCGGAACGGAAGCACGGCCCCGGTGACGCGTTGCAGCTGCTCTGGGTCACTACGCCGGGGATCTGTGAAATAGCACTGCAGCGAGGGCAAACGACGCGCGGGCTGGCTCCGCTGGAGCTGCGGAACTCTTCTGTCAAAACGCCTGTAGTTCTTCCTTCAGCACTACCCAAATTAGAATTGGTTCTGCCTGTTAACCTTTGTCTGCACGGAAGAAATAGATGATGACCTTTCAGCTGTAATAATAGTTCTAAAATAAATTACAGGCACCCTTTGTGGCACAGGTGAAGCAACCCAATGCTTAGCAACAGGTCTCCTCTTGGAGCCTGTGCAGCTCTGCCCTTGTGCGTGGCCTAACCGAGGGTGAGGCCACGAGGGACTGGAACTTGGTCCTTCAGGTCTCGCCTGCTTCGGCTTCTTGCGTCGCCCTCGGCTGCTGCAAGCACTCCTGTGGCGTTCGAGGAGACTCAGCTGCTTTTCCTTAGCTCGCTGCTTTGTGAACTGCAACCCACATGGTTCCTGTGAGCACTAGCGGCTGGTGAACATAAAGGAAATGCTCGGTTTCTGTTCAGGCATCGTCCTTCTTTCAGGTACTGGAAGTCTGGAGAGGGCGTCTGTGAGCTGTGTTTGGTTTGTAGCGGAGAGCTTTCTCTGGGCTGGCTCGGGTTGCAACCAGCGGTGGTAAGACCTTAACTTCTCTCAGGTCTGCGGAGCACGTAGCTCCGTGGCACTGCAGGTGTCGGAAACCAAACTTTCTTGTTAAAGGCAAGGGAGTGTAATGTAGCCAGACCAAAATGTTATTTTAAAAACTAAATTAAACTCAGATGTGGTGGGGTTTTTTTTTAGCAATCCTCAAAGTTTCAATGCATTACTTCAATGAAACTGGAAACTTCCAGCTGAAGCTTCCAGTACCATCAGAAAATACCTGAACGCACCTTTTCTCTTTCATCTTTTAAAGAAAAGCTGGGAGGAAAACCTTCTCTTTGTCTCTTAGTACTTATACTTCCACCCACTGCCGTGTCACAAGGATGGAACTAAAAAAAAGGTGGGCCACAACTTGCAAATACCAAATAAAGAGTTGGTTTTGGTTTTCTTTTTTGAAAGATGATATTGCAGACAAATTTCTACTAATGGAATTTTGTCTTGTAGGAATATGTTGTGGGAAGAGCTGTAATACCTCATCGTACCTTAGAAGGCCCTCTTCTTAAGAGACTCTTTCTTCATGTCTTGCTGTAGGTTTGTGGGCTCATTGGGCACCATCATCATAAAATGCAAAGATCTGCGAATTATTCAGCTGGATATACCTGGAATGGAGGAGTGTTTGAACATCGCTAGCTCTATCGAGGTAAGAATTCATGATAAGTAACACCTACGTTCTCAGATCTTGATCCGACCTCAACCTTAACAGCTTTGTTTCCAGTTAGGAAGGTTTTCATTGATGTTCTGGAAGGCAAATGAGAACGGTGGGGTATTTCCTTCCAATTGTTAAAATATTGTTTGTTGCTTGCAGCAACAGACTTTTCTTGACCAAATATCTTGCCATAGCATTTGGGAAAATGAAGCTGAGCTTCATTATGCTGGAGCATGAAGAGGCAAAACCAAATCACACTGGTTGAGTTTCATGTGTCTCAAACAACATTAAGTGACTTTCCTGAGTTTCAGCTCTGTTAGTAACCAGGTAAACGCCATGTAGGATGTATCCTGTTAGTTATACCTCTTCAGTGTGCATCCTTCTCATCCTTTGGTGCGCTGTTAGGTAGAATGCCTACCTAATGCCTACCTATTTCTGCCTGCAGAAATGATACTCTGCGTACAAGTCCCCAGCTGCAGTTAGATTGTCTGTTATCATCTGCTTTTGTTTTGTGCCACTGTGTTTTATGTACGTTAAACTACCCTGCAGGCAACTTAGTATTTCAAGCTTAATGGCTGTGTACTTTTGGGTGGCTTAAGTTTGCATCACCAATAGAATCATAGAATCATTGAGGTTGGAAAAGACCTCTAAGATCATCGAGTCCAACCATCAACCCAACACCACCATGCCCACTAAACCATGTCCCTAAGCACCTCATCTACACGTCTTTTAAATACCTCCAGGGATGGGGACTCCACCACTTCCCTGGGCAGCCTG